AGAAATTTAAAAATAAAACAATATATATGTACAATTTAAAATCTAACCTAAGTCTTACATAAAAGGCAGTTTTCACATTTACTATCAGTCAATTTAGAAACAAGGTCTATTCTACGTATGTTACATTTAAAAGATGATATGGATGTCAGTTCTCTTACATTTCTTGGTACAATTGCCCATATTTTGGGTCCCATATATCTAAGCGAATGTTTTCCAAAAGTGACAGTATTAAATCTAGGTATACCAAAATCATTATTACGCAGTGTGTACCTAAGTTGTGGAATTTGAAAAAGGCTACATATGTAATTAGGAGATAAATTGTTCTTTACCTTATACATAAGAATGGCTATATCCTGTAGTCTTCTGTTCTGCAGTGTACTTAGGTTAGCCATGTCTAATAATTTATCATAACTACTCCCCTTATCACAGTAAACTGCCCTAAGTGCCCTTTCTTGAATACGTTCCAATTTTCTAGTATCACTCGCCCTACAAAAATGCCAGACAAGATGGCTGTATGTTAAATACGGAAGAATGGCTGCCTTAAACAACTTCAGCTTGGTGTCTGTTGGTATCATATTCCTGAGCCTCATCAGGACTCCAACACGCTGGCTACTCCTCTTACAAATGTTAGCAATGTGTTCATCAAATTGAAGCCTATTGTCTATATATACCCCAAGAAGTTTTAAACACTTGGTAGATTTAACTTCATTGTCATCAATTATAATACTATCCATATCATTATTTTTATTCCCAAGTGTCATTGTCTGATACTTGTCATAGTTCCCTTTTAAGAAATTCGATCTATACCATCTGGAGGCTAATTCGGCACTTGCTATTAACTTATCATGCACCTCAGTAACATTACTGCCTGCAGCATGGAACTGGTGGTCGTCTGCATACATATTGATATTAGAATTAGAATTTACACTGTATGTCAGATCATTTTGGAACATGTTCCATATCAATGGTCCAAATGCGGAGCCCTGTGGACATCCCCTTGACCCCCTCTCCCACTCACTCACTGTGGATCCCAACTTCACCCTATTGTACCGATCAGTGAAGTAGGAGTCCAACAATTTTAGACTGTTCCCCCGAATACCATAAGCCTTTAATTTAGCAAGTGTGAGTGGATAGTAGAGGGAATCAAAGGCTTTACTCATGTCCGTAGAAAGAACACCTACCACTTTATGTTCATCTAAAGATATCTTCCAATTCTCTGTCATAGCCAGTAGAGCTGTTTCGCAGCTATGATTTTTCCTGTAGGCTGTCAGTTTATCACATAATTTATCATTGAAACTATAATTAAGCTGTTTACTAAGTAACTGTTCAAAAATCTTATTTATAGTAACTTGTACAGTTATGGGCCTATAGTTCTTTTTCTCATGGGGGTCCTCTTTCTTAAATACTGGTGTCCACTCTCCTTTCTTCCACACCGCAGGCCACTCACCCAATGTTATACATGAATTGTATAGTGCTGTCAGAGGCCCTGATAGTTCTCTAGCACCCAGCTTAAATGCTTTGGGGGGGACACCATCCCAACCAGTACTCTTTCTGGGGTTAATACTTTCCAGTGCGGTCTCCACCTCAAGTATCTCCAGATTCCGAAACTGGAAGTCTTGATGGCCTATCATATTCTCTGTGATATTCCGAACACTTGAATGAGTCACAAAAGAAGAGTCAGTAATGCCTTCTGTGTCACCAATACCATCAGCAATGGTATGTTTTTTGAAGACAAGATTACAGGATTATTCTTATTTACTAATCATCTGTTTATTTGTGCTGATCAGAGTAAATATAATGTTACATTTGGCAGTGTTTGATGTTGACTGACTCATAAAATTAATTATTATTTTGCAGAGTCTGGTTATGTTCACTGAGCACAGATAAATCAGTGTTTTTAGATACTGATGTATTCAGAGAAATTTTAAATGGAGTTTAGAAAATCTCTCCTTAAAGTAGACTAGGAAGGCCTGGGAGTCAGGTTGAACTCATGAAAATCATCAAGTCATTTGTTGCATTAACCTTATAACTAGTTATTTTCCACGTGCTTCATGTTAGGTTCTGATACTTTATCAAAGGATGGCTGATAGCACGTGGTGGAAACTGGTTATCAAGTCACAATCTGCTTGTGGAGGAATTCAGTGTATTGTGTTTACTACATTGCTGACTGGCATTCTTGCTGCTCTGGGAGGCTATCATGCCAAAGATAGACTTAACTTCAGCTGCGATCCCAAACCCAGTGATTTTAACAGAAATACTTGCTATAACAAGTACATTGACACAATCAGCAAGCCTCATGGGTTAATACCTTTGAATGTTGTTGCCCTAACCTGGAGTGTTTTGTGTGTATGTTGGATCTGCTTTGCAATTTTTGGTGCCGTGCTCCTTCAAAAGATCGAAAGTTCAAAGGACGATGTCAAACCCAGAAAGACTTTTTGCTGCATCTACTTTATCCATGTGTTCTTTCGAATATTTTTCCTGGGTGGTATGTTGGGGCTGTCCTGCAGTTACCCTGCAATTGATTTACCTTCCACTTATAAGTGTGAAGTTCATCAGACCCCGCAGCACAACAATCAAACCACACAAAGTTCACTTCACCCAACAAAAATGACATTGCACTGTAAAGATCTTCATTACAAACAGAAATCAACTCTTAATAAAGTTATTATTGCTGTGGATGCATTGTATATCATGTGTGGTATTTTAGAAGTGCTGCACCTGTGGTGTACAGAAGGACCTGTTCAGCAAAAGTTACTTGGAGATCTTGAAAGTGTTGAGCTTGGCTCTCTACTTGGAAGTAAGTATATTAAATAATTTCAAGTGAAACTGCTATCAAATTACAATGCTATAAAAGTGATGATGGAATGTTAGTCAGCTACATGTATACAATATTGCAGTAATGGAAAAAAATTACAACCCACAAAAATTCATAGAACTAATTAGGGGAAGGTTATATACATGTAGAACTACAGTAACAGGGGTTATTGCATGATGGCTGTCCCGTGATTGTTGTGCTAAAATGTAAAGTAGCCTACAAAGTTGCAAAATTTAAAGGATGGGTTTTAAAAGATAACTAAATTATAAACCCTTTTCTGGCTTGTTGGTAATATGTCAGCTGATAATGTTCTTGGCTGAGAGAGGGTCCTCTTAATTTCACATTTTTCCTTCAAAGCTGCTTCTCGGCCAAATTTTCATGTTTTTTCAGACGACCAATCTGCTGTGGTCATCATCAGCTGACAAACCAGCTGCCGGAAAGGGTTTATTTACCTACTACACCTGATTTAAGGGAGCAATAATGCTTTAACAAAACAAGCTTTTCAATCCTTTGGATGGGGATCAATTTGTTGTCTTATAGACACAATAGACATTTTTCAAGCTCTCAGCTCCGTGCTAGCTAATCTCCTTGGACTGAAACTGATAGAAAGTATTTCAACTGGATTTCCTGTTTTTTTAATAAGATATTTTCCTTTCCTTATTCTTTGGCCATTTTTAACTCCAGGAGTAACACTGCTTTTCAGATGACAAATTGAGAAAATTAATTTGTGGCAACAGGTTTAATACTCGTGCTGCAGCTCTCATAAGAAGAGTGATAAAAGTAATTTGAGTTTGTGCATTCTGATTCACAAACTGCATCCAAATTTGCATCATTTTATACTCTCAATTTTCAATACCAATCATTATTATTATAGTTCTTTTCTTACTTTGAAATTACAA